GGGATGTCACAGACACTCACAGGGGTTCCAGGGTGACATTCCAGGAGTGCCCAGGCTGCCAAAGGGCTGGGATGTCACAGACACTCACAGGGGTTCCAGGGTGACATTCCAGGAGTGCCCAGGCTGCCAAAGAGCTGGGATGTCACAGACACTCACAGGGGCTCCTGTCATGGGCGGAGTGGGAGCTTCAGGCAAAGTTTACTTGAGAAGCTCCTGTTGGGTCACGAGGTGCAGAAAGGACCCCCAACACCCCCATGACACCTCCAAGCTCCCCCAAACCAGGACCCCCAGGCTTCCTAAATTCCTGTGAGAGGAGCCTGGGAGTGCCTGGATCCAATCGCAGCCCCAGACTTTGCCAAGGATTTATGTGTAAAGGATTATACAGGTGGAATTGAAACTTTGTACAACTTTGTCCCTCAGCATTAAGGATAGCAAACCAGAAATATTTATATACATAGAGTTATGAGTGATTATGATCATGATCAGACATAAAGGTCTTAATCAGAATAATTTACTCCACAGTACAGGAGCTGTAACATCTATTTTAATATAGTGCTCTAGGAAACAATTATATCAAAGCAAAACTAAGCAGAGATGGGTGTTACTCCCCCAGACCAACGACCCTGGGCAAATCTCTTCAGCTCAGACTCAAGCACCCTGAGGGGCATCTCCACTCCAGGGAAGAATCTCCACACCCCCCAAGAAGGGAAATGTCATAAGATGCTGCCATTAAAATTTAGGACAGGACTTTTCTAGTCTGAAGTGCTGCCCTGTCAGTCAGATGTGCCCAGGCTGTGCCAGCTCAGCAGCTCTGCACAAGTTCTCAGTGGTGTCACTTGGTTGTTCCTTTCTCTGGGGATTTTACCAGCTCTGCCACAGTTTCAGCTCCCGCTCAGGATGTTGAACTTTGGGATGGAGGAGTCAGGCTGGTTTCAGCATTATTCACCCCAAAAGCAGCGTGACCTCCCCTCTTCATTTCCCACTGGGGCTTTGCAAACAGGGCCCTGCTGGAGTTGTTTGAGCCCATTCCAGGCAGAGCCTCCTGCTCCAGCAGGAATTGCCTTTCCTGCGCCATGGCCAGGCCAGGTCCCGCTGCAGGAAAAGCCCCAGGCC